AGGGGCCCAACCATGGAGGAACATAGCCTCTCATACCCACAGAGGGTAATAGCATCAAGAAAGGGGTACACTAAAACCACCCAACACCCCAAAAGGAACCAGAGATGCTCTGGAAAGATGTAGGGGAGAAGCAGAACTGAGAGCTCTGTGTTAGGAGGACCATGGCTCTGGTCATGGGTTACGAGGCAGCTCTACTGCTGTGGGAAGCACTAATGTGCAAAGGGCTCTGATTCCCAAGGCTTCGGAGGAGAAATAAGGGAGCGGAAGACCCCAGAAAACCTCCCTCTCCTGGCCAAGCCCAGATGAGGTTCCCACCAACTCCCTCCACCCCAGGTGGAGCCAGAAGGAAACCTGAAGTGTACCAGATAGAAAAGGCCAAAGGCAGGACACCTTTCTTCCCTAGTGGGATGATAAGGCAGTGAAGGGACAGGAAAGAGCAAAGGGTAAGGCCAAGTGCCCGCACAGCCTCAGACAGGCCCATGGGAGAGAAGAGAGGGCTAGAGGTTTAGGACTTGGGTAGAGTATGAAAAGGAAAACATTTTAACAGGCCTCTGAGGGTAGGGGAGGAAAAGCAAGGCAGAAGAAATTAGGGGTGTGAGAAAGAGAAAAGGGGTATGGAGGAAATGTAAGGAGGGCCCAGAAATCTAAAACACAGACAGACAAGGTGAGAAAACTAACACAAGAAGTGTTCAGCAGAGAGCAAGAGCGTGGACAGAAAGAAAGAAAGAAAGAAAGAAAGAAAGAAAGAAAGAAAGAAAGAAAGAGAAAGAAAGGAAGAAAGGTTGGTTCATGAGCCATCAAAGACACACAGGGCAGTCAGAAGGGGCACACAAGGACAGGACAGACAGGCTGAGCAGAGAGGAAAGCCGCAGGCGTCACCTCCAGGGTCTTTACCTTGGCTGCTTGGTCAAACCGAGGAAAGCCGCAGGCGTCACCTCCAGGGTCTTTACCTTCGCTGCTTGGTCAAACAGAGCTCAAGATTTAACTAGCGGCGCCCAGGGCCCATGCTGGCTGGCGGGCTGCCCGCTGGCTCCTGGCTGGGGTGACCGGCCTAGATGCCCCGCCCCCGCGGGCCTCCGCGGTGGGGGCCCTGACTGACTAGCTGCCTAAGCAATA